TCTCTCTCTCTCTCTCCCTTTCTCTCACTATCTATCTCCCTTTCCCTCTCTCTAACATTTCTCCGCATCAGTAGTCTGTCTAACTGTGTATCTGTCTGTCTGTCTCTCCTCTTTCTTTTCGTCTGAATGTTTGTTTATCTATTTGTCTACTGTTTGTCTGTCGGTCTGTCTGTCTTTTTCTCCTCTTTCTTTCCGTTTGAATGTTTGTCTTTCTGTCCATCTGTCTACTGTCTGTCTGTCTCTTTCTCTCTTTCTGCGTGTCCAACAATAAAACATTGGATTACGGGCAAACCCAAACATGATAACAAGTAGAACAACTTCATTTTGTGTTTGTCTTATCCATTTATGCGTCGTTTAGTCTCTATGCAAACACACACATACACATACACATACATACATACACACATACACGATACAGACACATATACACGTACAAACACACACACACACATACGGACACACATACACGTACGAACACAAGCACACACACACACACACGCACACACACACACACACACACACACACACAGGCTTACACACACACACACACAGACCCACAGGCAGATCACAAACACACGCACAAGCAAGGTAAAGTCCGTGCTTGTGCTTCGGGCTAAGTTCGGGACATCGGTACATGCCAATGCCCTCTCATTTTTTTTTCTAACCTTCTCCTTAATGTTTTAGATCACACAAAGTTAAAAAAAAGTTAAAGAAAACATTATATTAGATGACTGTTATGTATGTATCAATGTATTAGATAATATCATGATGGAGGTACACCTGTTATTTCATATTGTAAGTTTATCTTTATGGATATTCGTACGAGTGTTAGGGTGTGTGTTCAATGTATGTTCAATTCGGTTTCAGGTGATAGTATTTCCCCTCCGGTGGGAAAAAAAGGAAAATAGGAATCAAATGTCATGTTCTTACTTATCATATATATATCTATTTTTTTTTTTTTTTTTTTTTACATCCTCATCTTTAATACTTTTATTGGAATGACAAACCCCGACCTCGACTTTCTTCCATTCTGTCGTTTTTACATCTCTTACTAAACAGGTGTTACAATAAGTCCATAAAAAAAGAAAAAAAAAAGTCACTGGGTCCCTTCCCCCACCCCCCTTCCCCTCTGGCTCCCTACCCCCTTCATCTTCCTCCTCCCTTCCCCTTCCTTGTAAGTCCATCCCCCCCTCTCCTCTCTTCGTTCTTCCTCGTTGCCCCCTCCTCTCCCTCCCTCCCTCATCCCATCCCCTCCCCCTCCTCTCCCTCCACCCTTACTCCCCCCTCCTCTCCCTCCCTCACCCCCCCTCCTCTCCCTCCCTTCCTCACCCCCCTCCTCTCCCTCCTTCCCTCCCTCCCTCACCCCCCCTCCTCTCCCTCCCTCACTTATCCCCTCCCCTCCCCCTCCTCTCCCTCCACCCTCACTCCCCCTCCTCTCCCTCCCTCACTCATCCCCTCCCCTCCCCCTCCTCTCCCTCCACCCTCACTCCCCCTCCTCTCCCTCCCTCACTCATCCCCTCCCCTCCCCCTCCTCTCCCTCCACCCTCACTCCCCCTCCTCTCCCTCCCTCACTCACCCGTCCCCTCCCCCTCCTCTCCCTCCACCCTCACTCCCCCTCCTCTCCCTCCCTCACTCATCCCCTCCCCTCCCCCTCCTCTCCCCCCACCCTCATTCCCCCCTCCTCTCCCTCCCTCACTCATCCCATCCCCTCCCCCTCCTCTCCCCCCACCCTCACTCCCCTCTCCTCTCTCCCTCCCCCCCCCCCGTTTCCTCCTCCCCCTTCAAGATATAAGACACTGGGAGACGCGGACAACACAGTCTTGAACCAGTACTCGAGAAGGGAAGCTATACAATGAGCCGTCTCTTCCTAACGCTTCTGCTGTAAGTACGAATAACGAACGATTGTCACTAATCGGAGGGGAAAAAATGCATATCGAAAAGCGAATGATCTAAATACGTATATAATCTAATCGAAGTGGATCATCGTGGTAACTGAATTCATTTGGGAATGTGAGGTGTTCATCTGGCAATAGTGGGACAGTGATGCCAACTCTCTTCCTCTCGACAGGTTGTCGCTGGTGCTGTTGCTTCTGACGCGGGCAACAGGATTCCCATTGCCCATGACCACTCAAGGTACGTAGTCAGGTGGTTTCGATGTCCCATAGGCTGTCAATTAATTAGATTTTTTTTATTGTGTTATTCTTGTTCTTGTTCTTGTTATTTTTTATTATTATTATCATTATTTTTGTTATTATTATAACTTTTTTTTCTTTGTTGAGAATGCATTTCTACGTACGTTGATTCATAGATTGTGATCTGATTAAGGATTTTTTCTTTTTATGATCTTTTTAACGTTTTCCCTTTTTATCATTATTGTTATTATTATTATCCATATAGAAACAGTTAACTGGTGAGACTTTGGTGAAAATCTATCTCTTTTCTGTTTCATTTTTGATGATTTTCACAACTTTCTCTCTCTTCCCACAGCTCCTTACCCCCC